CTCAGTCTTATCACTCGAGGTTATACAAGCATGTTCATGCCGACGTAATAAATGACAAATAAATGCCAAGCCTTGCAGCTGGCGTATTGCTTTAAATCGGGTCATTTAGATATTATTCTTTTATGCCATATACAGCCAAGATATTTCAGCTAACCTCCTGCCCCTTTGGGCTTGCGCCAATTTCAAAGCAATACTAAATTATTAATTTCAAGCTCAGCTGTTCAAAGGGCTGCCTTGTGTTGAGTTAGCGTTAAGAAGGCACACAACAAGGACAACTGTGGGGAGAAACTGTTCGGCCGAAATGCAGCCGTTAAAGTCGCCAGCAAGCATGGCAAAGTAAGCATTGCCATTTTTTCACTCCGGAAGTGAACGTCTTTTATATTCTGTCGCCTCTTGAATATCCTGCCAAAGGGCAACGAAACGCCAGCATCAGTTCACTTTGATGTGGCAGGCGGCCGCGAGACCGGCCAGCCTCGGCTGCTCATCTTCACATTTCGCAGAGACGATGTGATGCTGAAGGCTCTGTCGAGCGCAGTCAGTGTGACCTACCTTTATAGTCTCTTCTAAGCCAATCGCGAATGCGTCTTTCAGGCGTCCGATGCATTCAAGTGTGCCGGCGAGATGCCACAAAAATGTCCCCAGTGACATGACAACACCTCATCGAAGTTTGTTGAGCGAAGGTTGCATCGTTTTGGTGTGGATACCAAAATTGGGAGTATTCACTTTATGCAGTTTTGTATTAGAATATTTTGATGTTTTGAGTTTTCGAGGCTATCAGTAATTATAAAACAACAATTTCGTCAGCCAAGGTCGCTCAAGAGGATTTAAGGACTGATGCCGGAGATTTTTTCAAAATGGGATTAGTAAACCTTAAGGTTCCAGTGAATTGCTAATTAGCCTTGCGCTAAAAAGCATTCTCTTTCCCAGAGCAGATGGCAATTTGACCTCTAACACGTCTCATTTGCGCCCCCAACGGGATTCGATATCGGACTTTTCGCATCAGGCAAGCCAGAATTGTCTCAAATCGCATTTATGATGGAAATGTATCAAAAGTGAACATACATTTACACTTCCGATCGACTGCTTACTTATTTTTAATGTAAGTAGCATTCGAGGTTATCAGTAATTATTGAATATAAGCTTGGTGGTGTACGTGTGGCAGAGATTTGGCCGTCAATTCTTAAATCACCTTATGCAGCCTATGATGATTAAGCTTTTTAGTTATTTGTACAAACTGTCTTTTCCAAATGGCCCAGTGACAACGGCTCTAATTTGACATCGAATTTCTTAAAGACCAATTCAAGCACCTGCATCTAGTTTGGGACACTTTTTACAACATCATATTCACATTTACTATGGCATATTAATTTAAAATAAAGTGGCCAGTGTAAACTTTCAATAAACCATCAAGTAGATATTTTATCTACATTGAAAGTATAAATTATCTAATAAATATAAAGCTTGATTTTGGGGTTTTATTTCCTTGTGCACTATATCCAAGCTGATCATTACTATTCTTTTAAGTAGCAAGCACATTTTTGTTTATCACTTGACTCAAATTATCACAAATATTCTCCTGAGAAGCCGTCACCCTCGCGGCAAACAGTACATAATCGG